GATCCTTCCACTGTGCAAAGAGGCAACACACCTATGGTCATGATGCATAGACCACAATGTCTGCATACAAGCCTTTTATCTGCTGGGCAAGGACAATATTACGGCAGACACCCTCAACAGGAAGTTCACTTCCAACCACAAATGGGAATTGGACGACGGCATACTCCACACTATTTTCTCATGCTGGGGATTCCAAAAGATCAACTTGTTTGCAACCTTTGCGAACAAAGTGTCCACAGTACTGTTCTTTTGCGGGCATTGGACTACACTCTCTGGGTGACGCATTTACAATACCTTGTAACACACCCCTCCTCTATGCCTTTCTGCCAACACCACTTCTTTACCAAGAGGTCAACAAAATAAGAGCGGGGACAGCATCCGTAAGCCTCATCACTCCAGCTTGGCCCTGTCAGACATGGTATACTTACCTACTTCACATGTCCCTAAGGCCTCCATGGCAGCTTCCAATAGTCCTTCATCTCCTGACTCAGCAACAGGGTCTCGTCCAGCACCCATCTCCCCACATTCTTTGCATCTGAGCTTGGCTCTTCACTGGCTCTCCTCAATAGAAGCAGCATTTATGGATCAGGTCAGACAGATCTTAATAAGTAATCGCACAGTCTCAACGAGAAAATGTTATCTGTGGTGAAGATTCTGTTCCTGGGCAAACCACAGATCCGTAGATCTATTCATGATTCCTCTGGCCGATATACTAGAGTACCTTTTACATCTAAAATATACAGGCCTCTCCCTCAGCTCGTTAAAGGTATACCTTGCAGCCATAACTGCATTCCACCAACCCGTCAAGGACAAATCAGTCTTCACCCACTAAACGATTCCTAAAGAGCATCTGGAACACGTTTCCACCTGTTAGAACACCAATCCCAGCCTGGGATCTAAACCTTGTACTATGAGCCCTAACCCATACACTGTTCGAACCTAGGCTGTGTGTTCAATGATGCATCTTTCAATTAAAGTTGCTACATTAGTCGCACTCCCCTCAGCCAGAAGATTAAGTGAAATTAGAGTGCTGTTGGCCTACACCCTTTACCATTTTTCATAAGGACAGGGTGGTCCTCCGACCACATCCAAAGTTCTTACCAAAAATTCTTACCTTCTGGCATTGCAACAAACCGCTGGTGCTATCTGTCTTCTGCCCAAAGTCTCATGCCACCACCGAAGAAGCTAAATGGCACACGGTCGATGTGCGCCACTCAATTGCCTTTTATCTAGAGAGGACAAAGGCAATTCGTAAAACTAACAGACTTTTCATCTCCATCCCTAATAGGTCCTTGGGTGTGCAAATCTCGACATAGAGACTTTCCAAGTTGATCGTAGATTGCATCCGCCTGGCTTACGCCAGTTTTAATCAGCAGACTCCTCTGCAATTGCAAGCGCATTTCACAAGGGTCATGGCAACCTTTGTGGCCTACCTTAGCAGCATTAATCTGATGGACATTTGCAGAGACAATGGTCTCGGCACACGCTTTTGCCAGACATTACACCTTGGACATTTACCTGAAATGGGGCATGGAATTTAGATTCACAGTCCTCACCAAGGCCCAACACGATTGTTAACTGAAGCACCCACCTCCTAACACGGGTACTGCTATATAGTCGCCTAAGGTTGAGCACCCACAGGGATACTCCTCGAAGAGGAAGAGAAGGTTACTCACTTTATGCAGTAACAGAGGTTCTTCAAGATGGTTGTCCCTGTGGGTGTTCCACCACCCTTCCTTCCCTCTGCTTCAGAGTTGTTGTCCTTCCAGGGCAGAGAAGGAACTGAACTGAAGGAACAATTGCCACGCGTGCATGGTAGTGGTACTGTGCGTGCCATCTGCTTCGCGTACAACACGCCAGAGGGCACTGCTTCTGTAAAACTCCATCTAGACATGCAACAGTGCTGCAAGACCTAAAGTGGAGCACCCACAGGGACAACCATCTTGAAGAACCTCCGTTACTGCACGAAGTGAGTAACCTTCTCTTTCTCTCGCAAAGGTTATGGAGCGTACAACAGGCTGCCCACACAAATTGAATGTTGCATTTGCTGTGCTTCAAACGAGTCAGGAGACTCCTCAACCTACCCTTTAATCATCCAAAGGCACATTCAGCTACCAACACTGCACTTGCTCAGCCTGTAGTTGAACTCCTCCTTGCTGGGGTCTAGGCTGCCCAAGACTAGCGTCATGAACCATGGGAGCAAGGGGTAGGCTGGGTCACCACGGATCATAACAGGCATTTATACTTCTCGGATTCTGATTTTCCTGTTTGGGGGGAAAAGTTCCAGTGTGCATCTTTCAGAAGATTTCCTAAAGATGTGAGCATCATGCACCTTTTCCGATCATCCCACATTGATGTTGGGGAAACGGCCCTTGTGATCCACCAACACCTGCAGCATTAAGGAGAAGTATCCCTTGTGGTTTATGTGCTCCTTGGCAAGGAGGTTGGGGAGGCCAAGATGTGGATGCATCATTGTGGCTTGCAGCAAACCGAGATCTAAGCTTGCACTGCTGTGGCATCTGTGCTTCAAACTAAGGCACAAAAAGGCATGAGCAGACTGCTTCCCATTGATCTCACATAAGTGGGGAGGGACTATACTGAGTGTACTATGGGACGCTGGTGACATGAACCCATAACCACCTATTGCACAGTTTTGGTCCCAGTGGGCAGTAGGAGCATAGCCCAGAATGCAAACCTACCCAAGGTACATCACACTCTGAGTCGACGGTAGACTCCCTGATGGGGACACACTACTTCACACTATATTCTTCACTGCAGTGAAGACATGGACCTTCGACTTTGCAAATTCAGGTGCCCAGAAACCAACCTTAATAAATTTGACCTTATCTCATAGTATATACAACTATGTGTATATACAACATAGTATATACAACTATGGGCAGTGAGATCTTGTTTTCTGGCTACCTAGATCCCAGAACCAGTGTCTACACTTCCTCCGACCCCTCCCCCCGAGTCCACCTGGCTGTGTGAGCTTTCTAGTTAATCCCTTCAGGGTCACTATAGCTATAAAGCAAGGAACACAGGTTTAACAAAGGAATTTCTTATACACATACACTTTACTCTTAAAAAGCACAAGAGAATTACGGATCATGAAAAACAAATTACCGAATGCCGTCCCATGTGATCTCACCCCATTTTGAGAGCTTTGGTTTTGATCACTGTCCTTTAGGGAGAAAAAGCCTCTATTGTCTCCACTTTTTTCAACTTGTTTTTTGTTTGTTTGTTTGTTTGTGGCAGTGAAATGATTTCCCTTGTTTAAAGCATATTCTTCTTTTTAAAACAGCTTTTGCTACCTTTTTTTGTCTATTTTTCATTTAAGATTTTCTATGCTCCATCTCCTTGTTAGCTTCTGGGCAAAACATTCAAAGTCTATTAACTTTTTTCCCCCTAGGAAGGGGACTTTTAATACTAATGGCTCTCTTATAGCCTCCCTACTATATGTCAACTTTCTGCTACCATAATGAACGTTTCAGGTTACAATAAAGATTACATTCAGAATGGAAGGTGAAATATAATAGTTTTCACAAAAAATGAAATTCATAAATTGGCAATCACCCGATCCGTTTCACATCCATTTTAGAATTGATGTTTGTTTTGCAAGGTGGATGAATGGAGGTAGATCCACTGATTTTAAACAGGGAAGGGCAAGTACCTTTTTTTCAGTCCTCAATGACAAATATTTTATCTTTATCAAGAAGTTGTATCGAAAAAAATGGTTTGGGAGGAAATTTACAGATTACGTAAAGTTTACTATTAGATTTTGGTCTCTTTTAGAAATCATAGGTATGTCTACACTGCAGCTAAAAACTCACAACTGGCCTTTGCCAGCTGATTCAGGCTAAGGCGTTGTTTAATTGCAGTGTAGATGTTCCTGTTCAAGCAGGAGTCCAGGGGACCCTGCAAGGTGTAAGGGTTCCAGAGCTCAGATCCCCACCTGAGCCCAAACATCTACTCCCTCAAACAGCCTCTCAGGTCAGGTCTACACTAGATCTGAAAAGTCTGCTTAAGGCTTAGAATACGTAGCTGGAGTTGGCTTACCTTAAGCCAAGCTTGGCGGTGTCCCCACAGTGGGAGGCTGACGAGCAAACGCTCCCATTGGCTTCCCTTACTCCTTGCAACTGCAAGTACAGGTGCTAGCTGAAGTTGCCCTCAGTGTTCGATTTACTGGTCTATACTAGACCTGCTAAATCGAATGCCAGAACATCGATATCCAGTGCAGTGAGTAAAGAGATGCCCTTAGCCTGAGCCATGCAAGCCTGAGTCAGCTGACTTGAGCCAGCTACTGATTACTTTGATGTTGATTACCACAAGCTTTAATGCCTCAAATCTGGGATGCCCAATACATTAATGTTGATTCATCTGATGTTGCGTGTATGTGTAAACAGCAAAGAAAAGACCATGGCTGACCAGTACCATCTGACTTGGAGTCATCGGTTATTTTGCTGCTGTGTAGGATTCCAAAGCTTGACCTGCAGCCTAAGCATGGAGATCTACACTGCAGCTTGAGCCTCATGAGCTGGAGTCAGCTGGCTTGGATAAATTGTGCATTTTTTTTTTTGCTGTGTAGACATACACTATACCCTTTAGTATCAGGTCCCTCAATTATTTTATCTTTGTAGACTTTGGTACAGTATATCTTTCAGCAGATTTTGTGATTGGTGAAAGGAACTTAAATTAGGTTTGTGGCTGCATTCCCTTGCACGTCCGCAGGTATAGGGTATGGGAACAGCCCAATGGATACTGCTTTTAAGAAAGTTCTGAGTTCATGTGCCTAGGCCACGTGCTTTGTCTGTAATGTAGATCCATGCAAGTGATCATCAAAGGAATCATAGTTACTGTAAGTAACCGTTCTTTATAAATTAATTTTTTTAAATGCCAAGTTGCATAGTGTATAGTATTTAAGGTGTACGTTTTAGTAACAATTCTGCAGATTAATGTATTAAATAAGAAATTTTATCTGTCTCTTTTTTCTTTTAAAGTCACGCTCCATTTCCAGTTCCCCTGTAATGGTAGCTCAACCTGTTTATCATCAACCTGCATATCCTTACCAGGTAAAAGTCAGAAAATAGTACATCATTTTCATAGCTTGAAGATTGCAACTCTCCAGTTTTGCTATCACCAGTCTCTCAAAATCATAAATTCTTAGCAGCTATCTCTCTGGCCAAACAATGCTCCCTTCAAAATGTACAAGTGCAATACCTAAAATTTAAAGTCATATTAGATTGTACACTTGTAGCTATTCCATTCCTACAACCCCTCACTAAGGCTGAATTTTCTGCCTGCCTACTTGGAATGAATTTCAATCCTTTCTTTATGGTAGGGCTAAATAGTTGGGTCAATTCCGTCCTGGCTTAAAAACTGGTGAACAAATCATCGACATTTTGTAACACTTTGTACTTTTTTTTTAATTGTCAAATTTTTAAAAGTGCTTAAGTCATTTAGGATACTAAGCACTATTTTCAAAAGTGCCATTGAAAGTCAATAGTACTTATGCTCCTAAATACTTGGATGCTTTGGAAAATTTTACTTTATATTCTTTTCATCATGTCTTGTTTTATTTTGAAAACAATGTATTTGAAAGATCTGTATTTTCCATATGAGAAAGTATATTATTTCATAATTCAAACAATCTTATTTTTATGAACCTAGGCACCTCCACAGTGTCTTTCAGGGCAGTGGCAATGGAGTATTCCACAGGTAAATATATAATTACAGCATTTGGTCATCACCTTAATTGTTTGAATGCACTGTGTTCATTTAGTTGGGATTGGTCCTGCCTATAGCAGGGGGCTGGACTTGATGACCTTCTGAGGTCTCTTCCAGTTCTATGATTATATGTGTGGTTTTCAATTTTTAAATCACTGTCCATAATTCCATGTAATTAGTATCTTCCAAAGGACTTAATAACCATTGTTCAAATTAATATTGTTTGCTGTATCTCAGTAATGCCATCGTACAATATTTCCTGGCATAATGGAAGGGATATAGTATAATTTAATGAATTATCACATCCAGTTTGTTTATTCGCATATTTCCTTCCTACAAGCTGGACAAAAGGGATGCTGCTTTCTTGTGGTCGTTCTCTAGTCCCTATGGATTGGGATTCTTGCCATCCAAGGGATTTTGAATCTGAACTCAAAGGTATCATTAAATTCCTGAAACACAGGACAGTTAGACATGCCCTGGTTAGTCTATTAGCAGTGGCCTCTGTCAACCCCAGCCTTAGCCCTGCTCTGCTCTATACACTTAAAGTTGACATAACTGCATTGCTGAGAGATATGGGAAAAGGAGCAATGCAATTATACTAACCAAATTCCCATATAGATAATGTTATGTCAGTAGGAGGGCTACTCTCAGAAAGGTAGAGTACCTACACCAATTGGCAAGCTTCTCCTGACAGTGAAGGTAGCATCTTCACTAAGAACTACAGAGGCACAGCTGCACCATCGACATAGCTACCACTGCTTATTGACGTGGTTTATTTCATTGGTGGGAGACCTCTCTCCCATCAGCATCAAGTGGATTTTACAGTGGTGTAGCGGTATCCGTACACCTGTTCTGCTGTAAGCTTGGTAGTGTAGCTATAGCTGCATGCACCCCTTAAAAGGCACAAGACAGTTACAGGCCTATGGAAAAGGTAGAAAACACCTGAATGCAAGCCTCTTCAGTGTCATCTCACCCCACTTTGTGGGTTTTGGGTTTGGTCCAAAACCTTTAAAGGGAGGTAAAGTCTATTCTTTCCTTTGGGGTCTTTTGTTTCCATAGAAGAAACGGCTTCCTTTTTCTCAAGAGCATGTCTTTTTAAAAACATTGTCTGTCACTGCATTTCTATTAGGGAGTTGAACATGGAAAATGGCTTCTGAATATCAGCATGCTAAAACTCAGGGCGGTCATATATCCCTATCTCCAATTTCTGCTATTGATCCAGGGATAAATATATATCATTCATAGTAAACAATATGTCATGCATGTTCTATTTCAACTGACAAGGAAGGGCTAGATCCCCTTCTGTGTGGAAGCTGTCAAATTTTTTGAATTGGTGCATACGGAATCAGATCATGATCACAGCAGCTTACCTCTCAGGCGATCAGAATATAACTGTAGATGCTCTTAGCATACACTTTCTCAAGACCACAAGTGGGAAATAAACTCAGCCACATATTTTGGCAATAGACAGACATTGTCTGCTTACCAATCATTCTCTGGACTGCTCCTTAACTTCTTTCCCAAGAAGATAGTCCTATGCCTCCAAGCACATCTAGTCAATGGATTGCAGGTTTAGAAATAACCTTTTCAAAGGGAGTAAAAAGAGTACTATTATATGGCAAGAAGTAGTCTATGCACAATACTTACTTGCAAAATTGGACACGATTTTGGTGCGGGTGTGTCCTAAAGTACATTCCACTAGCAACCTCACTGCTGTCAGATACACTGGACTACATCCTGAGCTAAAATACTCATGTTTGTTGTTGAGCTCTGTTAGGCAGCTATAACAGCTTTCCACACTCCAATAGAGGGTTATTCTTTGTTTGTTCACTAAACTACAGTGGGGTTCCTCAGGGGAGTGGGAAATCTCTTCCCATAAGTCAAATACCCTGTTCTGATTTGGAATCCCAATTTGATTCTTAAGTTGAAGTTACTGTTTGAGCCACAGGCTAATTCTTTGTTCCTTCATTTATCAGTGTAAACAGCATTTCTGGTAGGCATCATGTCTGAGAAGCAAGCTAGCAAAATAGGGGCTCTTACAGTGTACTCCTCCGTTCACTGTATTTTTCCTATTACACATTACAACCACAGTTCAAGTTCTTACCAAAAGTATCTTCAGTGTGCCACATTAACCAACCCATTCTCTTCTGGTCTTTTACCTTAAGCCTCACCTTGGTAAGGAAGAAGCAGTGTTAGACACTCTGGGTATGTCTACACTACAAAGTTAGTTCGAACTAACGGACGTTCGAACTAACGGACATAGGTCTGCTATGTACATTGGACAAACATCTCAGACACTTCGCCAAAGAATCAATGCCCACAAAACAGACATTAGACAGGATCACAAAGAAAAAACAGTTGCTTGCCATTTCAACCAGAAAGGACACTGTCTCAATGACCAACTCACCTGCATCCTACTTCAGAAGACATTCAAATCTGCACTTGAAAGGGAATCCTCTGAACTGGCATTCATGCTAAAATTCCACACTCTCCGCAGGGGGCTGAACAAAGACCCCAGCTATCTTACCCATTACAAAGATAGCTTCCCCAATTATCACCTCTAATACTATTAACTCACAGACATCTACCCTTCCCCACCTCTAATATCATTAACTCACAGGCATTCACATTCCTCTCCCCCCCCCCCCCCCCCGCATCCCCCTTCTGTTCTGCAATGTGATTTGTCCTTTTCATATGTGTTCATTTTTTTAAATTGTATCCTTTGGTATATATGGCTGTGACTATTTTCTTCCCCTATTTGATCTGAGGAAGTGGGTCTGGCCCACGAAACCTCATCATCTAATAAACCATCTTGTTAGTCTTTGAAGTGCTACATAGTCCTGTTTTTTGTTTCAGCTACACCAGACTAACACGGCTACATTTCTATCACTCTTCTCTTTTAGTTATTCTGTAGGTCAACTATTGCAGGAAGAACAGAAAGTGATCACGTTTTTGTAGATATAGAAAAACTTTCAACTTTTATGATGTAGTCATAAATATATTGTAACTTGATATATGTTTTGATGTATGGATTTGGACTCAAACAGTTTTTTTTTGTTTTATTTAGTTTTAAAAGTACATCGGTTTACTTTTAATGTGCTTCAAAAACATAATCTGTCCTGTTTTTTAACTTTTTGTAGTTTCCTTTTTTTTCTTTTCTACCAAATTGTCCCAAGATTTAAATGTTAAAGCAACTACATCAATTTAAAATTCATATTGTTTTTGCAAACTGTTTACTTTTTTACAGTGGCATCTAAAATTACTATGACTGAATGAGGAGAAATTTTTAATGTTTTTATTATGCTTTTGACAGCACTTTATGTAAAGATATATTTATTATTTCCTTGTGTCATCAGATTATTGGTTACATTTCCTTTTTGTTCATGTAAGTCCTTTACACAGCAAAAGAAAGCAACATTTTTAAAATAGGCAAATTTGATTGTAAAAATGTAAAAATAACACAGTGACTCAAAGCCAAGTGTGGTATCTGAAACTTTTAAATATTTTTTTAAGTTGCCTAAATTTTAGTGTCAGTTGTTTAAGTCTTTAGTTTGTTGTTGTTTTCCTATAGCACAGTTCAGTAACTTATACTACATCTTGTTTTATTTCAGTCTCCTGCCTCTTCAACCTCATTCTTTTATCTGCACCCTTCTGAAGTTATTTATCAGCCATTAGAAATTGCACAGGACAGTGGATGTGTACCTCCTCCTTTCTCTCTAATGGAAGCTGCAATTCCAGAGGTGCTTTGATGGAACTTTTACATACTTTATATAGAGAAAGAGAGTATTTTACATACTAATATATATATATATGCACAATGGAAACTTGAACATTTTATATTAAAACTAGTTAAACAGAACCAATGTAAGCACAAACAGTTCAGTGCAAATGCACCAGCCATGCAGAAGTTTAAAATTATTTGCACTTTTTCTCCATGCCTATACTAGTATTGTTTTAAGTCACTGCAGTTGTAGTGCCAGTTGGTTACCTATGTCAAAGTTCCTGGCATGGCTTCCTAGCAGAAACATTGGGGGATTTTGAAATATTTTGAAAGAATCCCCTTGGACTGTGGGCAGCAGTGGGAGGACTTGGTTAAATGTTTCTCCTAGTTCCACATTGACTCTAAAGGCGTATCTACACTGCACCCATAGGTCAAAATAAGATATGCAATTTGAGCTATGCAAATTATGTATCTTCTTTCAGTCTAATTAGCTTATTCTGAAATTTGGCGCTGTCTACACAGCACCAAATTTCAAAATAAACCACTGTTCTGAAACGTCCCTTAACTCTCGAGGAACAAGGGTTACAGAGACATTGGAATAGCGAGCCTGTTATTTTGAAATAAGGGGCTGCCGTTATTTTGAAATCTATTTCAAAATAACGGGCTGATTTAAAAGATGCGGAATAGCTATTGCAGGATACTGCCGCAGTCTAGACGTACCCTAACAGTTTAGAGTGAATAAATTCACACTGGACTGCTTGTTAGGACTGTTGAATGGCTATAGTCTGATCTGAATTAGAGATGTTAAGTAGCATTTAATTAGCTAATTGAGTAGTTGATGGAATTTCATTGATTGAAATTCTATTGACTACTCAATTAGTCGATAGGGGGGCAGCGCAGTCGGGTTAGTTCTCAGATGCAGCATGAGCTGTGACTAAACGGTTATGGATTATGCTGGCTCTGTTACTGCTGCACTCCTGCCTTTTAAATATAGTAAGAGCGGCCTGGCTCTTACTATATTTAAAAGGCAGAGCTGCAGCCGGGGACTCGCACTGGTCCCGTTGTGCCTCTGCCTACCTCCCCCCGCCCCCCCGAGATGGTGCTGGGGGGGAACCAGCTTTTAAGCTGGTTCCCCCTCAGCACTGGCTTCTGCTCCCCCCTTGCTGCCTCTGATACAGAAGCAGCAACAGGGGGGAAGTGAGTAGTCAAGTAGTGAATCGACTACTCAACTAGTAGCTTACATCCCTAATCTGAATGCCTTTAAGAATGTAAATTATCTGTAATGATGGGTGTCTGGTGGCTTAGGCAAGGGACGGCTCTGCCTTCTGAAACCACCAGCCTGGCCACTCCCATAATTCACCTCCAGAACACCTACTGTAGGCGTTCAGGGGGCAGAGTGTTGCTGCCCCAGATCGCTCGCCCTTCCTATGTTTGGGGCGGTTCGGGCCATGCCGCCACCTCCCTTCCTGCTGCTTCTGAGAGTAGGGAGGCCTGAGCCATGTGGCTGCCTCCTTCCTTGCTGCTCCCGGGAGCAGATAGGCTCGTGCTATGGCCACCTCCCTCCATGTTGCTGCTGGAGGTGGGGAGGCTCGGGTTGGCTCAGGCCCCCCCCTCCTCCCCGCTCGCTGCTCTAGAGATGCTGGGGCGTGCATACGTGCCTTTCCCCTCGTGTGGGATGGGCAGGGCCTCCGCAGAGTGGGCGGGGCTGTAAATGGGGCCGGGAGTGTGCCTCCCCCTACCCCAGCTGCACCGACCGCCCATGGCTGTAATACTTTACTGTGAGGAAACATGGTGTTTGACAAGTGTTCTGGGGATTAGAATAGTAAGGTTCTTCTTCAAGGAGTGTCCCCGTGAGTGCTCCACCTTCAGGTGCATCAGTGCTGCTGCGCTGTCGATTGGGGAGATTTGTGATATCAGTGCCCTGTGAACGGCTGCATGTGCAGCAGCTACCGAGTACGTGCAGCCGGCCGCCTCCTCAGTTCCTTCTGAACCGCCATCGGTTTTGGTCGCAGCTCAGCAGTCACCCTCTACTATAGATAATTTTACTGTGTTCTCGTAACGATTTAGTTAGCTCTTCTTTGAGTGCTTGCTCATGTCCATTCCAATTAGGTGTTCGTGTGCCGAGTGCATGGATTCCGGAGCTTTTACCCTTAGCAGTATTCGTTGGCCAGCCAGGGAGCCTCCTGAAGGGTGCCAGTATACTGGCATATATATTCCTCTGCTGGCCCTTCACCCCCTCAGTTCCTTCTTACTGCCCGTGATGGTAGCTGGAGTGCTGTTAAGACTGATAGTCCTTACCCTTAGCCTGTATATAGTTCTCCTTATCTCTTCAGTATTGTATTAGTTCGTTAATAGTTAATTAGTAGTTCTTTAGTTCTTGTAAATAGTTTTACATAGGGAGGACTTCTCCCCTCTGGCCTCCACCCAACTGGGGAGGGGATGCCAGGGCTGCAGGGATTCAAACTATGTGCATTGTGCTTGAAACCTATGCCTTGGAGGGATCCTCATAACTCTTGCTTGAAGTGTCTTGGAGAGACCCACTGTACAAAAAGCTGCAACATCTGCAAGAGTTTTAAACTGAGGCCTCAGCACGAGAGAGACTCTAGGCTCAAGCTTATCCTCATGGATTCTGCTTTACAGTCACTAGCTCCAGAGAGGGTTGAATTTCCCGGGCTTCATTTGCATCTTGCCAGGCGCCGCCATTTTTAAATGTCCGCTAGTGCGGACTCCATGCCGCGCGGCTACATGCGGCACGGACTAGGTAGTTGGGACTAGGCTTCCTATTCCGAACTACCGTTACTCCTCGTTTCACGTGTAGCCGTGTGGCACGGAGTCCATACTAGCGGACATTTAAAAATGGCGGCGCCCGGCAAGATGCAAATGAAGCCTGGGAAATTCAAATCCCGGGCTTCATTTGCAACTGTTCTTCTGAAAGAAGCCTGCTGTCTAGGCATGGCCCCAGGGATGGAGCTGGCTCCCACATTAGAAAAGCAGAATAAGGGACTCCTGTATCAGGAAAGCGGGGTAAGGGACCTGCTGGAGGCAAGTGTGCTGGGCTGGGTGCTTGAGTGGACTAGGGCATTCTTCTGAGAAGCACATGGCAGTGGGCTCCAGGCCCACCTTGGGAGCCAACACAGGATAAGGGCCATTCTGAAGGTACCAGGCTGGGGTAGGGGTGCAAGCTCTGGTCTTGGTCCAAGGAGTTCAGAGTGTGGGAAAGGACACCCTGAAGTTAGGGAGGTGAGGTGGGTTTGGAGTGGCCTGGGTATAGGTCATTTACCAGGGCAGTGCACGGTTGGGGGCTTGAGACGCTCCCCCCCCCCCACCTCCACCCACCTTGGGAGTAGCCGGACAACCAACACAGGATAGAGGACCCCCTGAAGGTAGGCTAGGTTCTTGAGTGGACTAGGAGCTAGGGTATTTGTACCCCCCCCCCCCCCCAGGAGCAGCCAGACAGCTGCCCCACAGGTGGAGCTAAGACAGGCTTACTTCTGCCCTGGCCCTGCACCATACCACATGCAGCTGGCATGTACAGCAATGGCTCAATGTGCTGCCCCTCATCTACAGGCCCCGATCGCACTGGCCACGGCCCTCCATTATTGATCACTGGGAGCTGCAGGAGTGGTGTCCACATTATTGGACAGCATGTGGAGACCCCCTGCTCTGACTTTCTCAGGGGCTGCGGGGACATGCCAGCCATCTCCAGGAGTACAATTGCCACAGGGAAAATTACTCCAGACATGACAGGTTAGGCATTTTAGAACTCACTACTCAACTAATTATATTGAATCATGAGAGAGAAATAAAAATTATAAAACACACAGACCAGTCAAAAGCTCAAAAGAACCCACGTTGCAAGCAGTAACAGTAGTAACAACCACCCCTCACATGGTGAGAGGGAAGAACAGTGTGTGTTTGTGAGAATGACAGAAACATACACACTGTGTGAGAGAGAGAGATTTGCATTGCCAAGCTCCCTCCATCCCCTTCTCTCTGTGTGGAGCAGACAAAAAACCAAAAATAATCCACTTTGCAAGCAGTAACAGAAGTAACAACCCCCCCATGTACGTGTTGGGTGCGGAGATGAGAGGAAAGGACAGTGTGTGTTTGTGAGAATGACAGAAACATACACACTGTGTGAGAGAGAGAGATTTGCATTGCCAAGCTCCCTCCATCGCCTTCTCTCTGTATGAAGATAGGGTACAGGAGTGGGGGAAGGAAGGACACCCTGATATCACCCCCGTTCTCCCTTCCACACCCTGCACAGCAAGCAGGAGGCTCCCAGAAGGGCATCTTCAAGGCAGAAGCAGGAGCGGCATGACAGTAGGTGGAGAGGCAACTGATGTGCCAGCACTTGATAGCTTCCCGGCCAAACCAGTCAGTATCACCTGTTAGAGGCTCCAAGATCTACTAGTAGATCCTGATCTACTGGTTGGTGACCACTGTTATAGTGGAAATCTTCCAGAGTTGGGGTTATCCCCATTTGGACCTGTTCACTACACAAAGGAATGTCCAATATCAGAGCTACAGCTTATTCATGGGCCAAGGCCTCGGGTCTCAGGAGGATGCACTGCATATCCGTGGCCCCGGGGGCGAGGCCCTCATCAGGATCAGGTGTTTCGGGACAGCGGTCATCATAATGTTGCAGGTGTGGCCTCACAAACACTGGTTTACCACCCTCTTGGATTTGGCAGTGGAAGACCTGGTGATGCAGACTTGATCACCCAGGATGTGAGAAAGGGAAGGCTGTGCCACCCGAATCTAGTGGCCCTTCACCTAGCAGCAGGAACCTGCATAGTTGATAGGACTAGAACAACTTTGCTTGCAAGAGGTGCCGAAGATGTTGCTAGAGAGTGGAAAACCCTCTACCAGGGCACTGTACAAGGCAAAGTGGAGGTGTTTTGCCTTGTGGACAGAGCAAAGGGGGGTAAGTCTGATGTGTGCCACAGTCCCCCTAGTCTTGGATTATTTGCTACACCTTAGACACCAGGACCTCGCTACTTCCTTGCTAAAGGTGCA